TATAGTAGCGTGCGGGAAAGTAGTACTTTCCAACCGATTGACCGTGCCGGAATGAAAATTATCTTTCACTTTAATTAAAATTAAAAAAAAAAGTTGTTAAAAATCTACGTGAACAATGAATGAATTAACGAGACCTTGTACGCCTCCAGACCTAGTATCTGCTGCTAAAAATGTTACACATGACAACTTTATTTAAAATGTAACCCTATTATGGATTGATTAAAATTTTTTGATAACTAATATAGTTAATCTAATTACAACATTTCTTTGTAAATGAATAATTTCTCTCTATTGAACTTTGAAAGCAGTCGTTACAAAAAATATTGTTCGATAAATATGTCCTAACTGAGGCATTCACAGGGCTTAATTAAAACACTCGCCAGAAGAAACAAGGCGTTTACGACGAGACCGAGTACGCTTACTACCACTCGCCTAACGGCTCGTGGGGGTAATCTGCGTACTCGGCCCCGTTGTAAACGCGCCGTTTCTTTGGCTCGTGTTTCAATTTTTCAACCTTGGAATGCCTCACTTCGCACACATGTATCGAAAATATCTATTACGTACATGAGAAACATCTAGTAAAGGAAGTTAAATAAAATATTAATTGTCAGAATTATGGATTTCTTTCCATAATCACAATAGAGATAAGTTTAAACTTACTATTTGAGTATTAATTAGTTTAATCTTTTATAAGCAAGTTTATTTCTATCCTGAATATTGTATCATTTCTATGAAAATTTTACCTGATTCGTAATCCTATCCTCTATGAATACATGATTTTACTCAAAGTAGTATCTATATTTTCGTTATTCAAAGTGATTCAATATCATTCGTTCGTAAGAAGCTTAGGAGGATTTATATATACCTATGCTTTACTCCTCTATCCCTTTTTATAGACCCTTTCACTAAAGATGCGTGCCAGCTCCTTTCGACTTAAACGGATTTTGAGTACCTTTGGAGTGTCGTGAGCATATGTCAAATTTCAACTTAAATAATAACGTCGTTTATCTTAAATCTGACTAATATAAATGAACATTATATATGTAAATTTCAATATATGTAAGTCTTATTGAATGATACTGGTATTTAAATAAAAATCAAAAATATGTGCTCCTCGGTGAGTTTTAATATTTAAAAAATCATGTGTGCAGATTAGAAGTGAAACCTTCAAAAATCTAAGTTTCGAGAGAATGAGACGAATGGACAGTTTTAAGAGTAAGATAATTGTTAGATTTATTTATTATAATATTATTACTATAAATAATAAAGGTCACCGGTATGGTCTCTGGATGAAATAGCTGATAAAAAGTGCACTTTTCACAATTCAAGCAATAAAAACGGAATACTGAATGCAATAGTTATAAATAATCACCAAAATGGTAGGATGTTTATCAAAGGAAATATAATTCGTCAGAAATTAGGTAAAAATAAATAATCCTTTTTTTGAAACTTAGGTATAAAATTTTTTTTGTTAGTATGGTTTTCTATTTCCCGTTTTCATCTACATTCTTGCGCTATATAACAAACATTTTAGGATAGATGAAATAAAGACGTTACGAAAAACATATGGAAAATACTGCTGGATTAAACGAAGGTTCTGGTAAAATGCAATGAAAGATCTAATAAAGATATTCTCTAGAAATGTTTTTTCAACTCTGTAGCCTACCACACTTCGAGACCCCTATTATTTATAATATGTCTCATCCTTATTCTTTGGACAACAAACTTATCTTTCTAAATGCTCTCATCTAAATAAAGATCTGAACAACGAAAAATCTAAAAAATGCATTGAATCGTATCGCTCTCTCAGCTTATCGAACTGTGTACACTACGAGTCTCAGATTTCAGCTCCGTGGTAAGCTCTCCGTGGTTAGTTTCTTAAATACGCAAATATCATAATTTATAATATAATTTTCATATATGCATGGGTCAGTACATCTCTTTGGATATTTTTCATATAAAAATCAAATTTAATAGACATATTTTATCTTTAGGTATCAAATATATTTTATAAAGAAGCAAAATATAAAAATGTGACAGTAATTTACTTGCTTTTGAATGGAATTTGTCAGCTGCTCCTCATTTATTCCACAGTATTTTCTAATTCTTTTTCTCTGATGTATCTGGTAATCTTTTTTTTTTTTTTAATATTTCAGACAATACAATTATTATATATTCTGTGTACTTCATAATTATTTATTATAATATTTGCAAAATAAAGAATTTAATACTAATTTTTCAATAAAATAGAAACATTTTTAAATAGAAAAGATATGACACGTTGTAAAAAAAAACTATAGGCATGAATATTATCGCATCGATAATAAAGATAATAAATGTAGATCGAATTTCAACAGACCTTCCCTGTATTTTATAATTCTTTTCTCATGATAAGGAACCGACCTTGGGGTGTAGGTAGCTGACAAAAACTAATATTTTCAAAATTCTATCCATCAAGATGGAATGCTGAATGCGATAGCCATAGATAGAGACGAAAATTGTAGAATATTTGTCGACAGAAAGATACGCCGTCCTAATCCAAGTAAATATAATATATATTTTTTTGAAACTCAGGTAGATGAATTTTTTTGTCTTACACTTTTCACACTTTCTGTGAATGTGAGATATCTTTATCATGGGTTAGCATACATAAGTATTTCTTTTTGTGTTGCAACTAATAACTGTGGATGCTGTTAAAGAAGGGAACAATTGTGGTCGTATTTTTTTCGTTTCATCGGATTTTGAATTACAACGATCTTAATATCTATTTATCATTTCCGTTGTTTTATTTTATAATATTGAAAACTTTTTAAAAATTTATTTTCTATATTTTTTTTTCTATATTTGTAAAATAAGTTATATTATTTTATTCTTATTGGAAATATAAAGTAAATAAGGTTTATTTGTTTTTGTCACGTGTCCAGTTTCTTCTATTTAAAAACTTTTCTATTTTATTGAAAAATTAGTATAAATTTCCTAAATACGCAAACATTATAATTAAATAAAAAACATGTCTTTGGATATTTATAAGAAAAATATTCTAGAATGTTGTTTAATTTTTTTTCTCTGATGTATCTGATAATCATTTCATTTTTTTGTAAAATATTGCAGACAATACAATTATTATATTCTATATATTTCGTAATTGTTAATTACAATATTTGCGAAATAAATAATTTAATATTAATTTTT